TATTTGAATTACAATTGGGTGGAGACTTGAAGTTAGAATTGTATTTTGTTTATTTTCCCGTAAGGTTTAGTTATTGGGCATGTAAATTGCAATTTGCAAATGTTAAGCACATATATTTAAAGATTGTTTCATACTTGAGCTCGAGTTCGAACACGAACTTTCAAGCTAATTGAACTTGTAACTTTTGAACGAACCAAAATTATCTAGCCGAGTCGAGCCAAATCGAGCTGAATCAATATTTGCGAGCCGAGCTCGAGCCCGGATTTTTTAAGCTCGTTCGAGCCGAGCTCGAGCCAATACAATATAATTCGAGCTCGAGCTTGAGCCTACATAAACTCGGGCTTGGCTCGGCTCGTTTGCACCCCTTATTACCAACATCTTCCACCTCATTCCCCATAACTTCATAAGTTTTCATTCACACACACATCTGAAACTTCACCCATCCCCATTTCTCTCAAATACACACACCAAATCGATACTTTCTCAACACAAAAATGTATTCGTTCAAACATGCCTTAAAACACACACACACACACCGTCACCAGTCACCACAGGAGGTTTATATTTGTACGACTCCCAGATTAATTTCATTCGATGTACTTGGATGAGTGGATCCGGCCATCTGGGCAGGTTATTTTTAATTTAATTTATATGGAGTATTAATAATTTGGTTAGAGATTGGGTTGCATGCACACTTAGTTTGAGATCCCACGCTGGCATTAATATTTTATTCTTTTGGTGTTGAAAATTATAATACTTCGTAAGTCCTATTAAGATTATATATACAACTGTGGATGTAGTTGGCAAAGATTTTCTTAACAATTCTTTTTTGTAAATTCGTTCTTCATTGAAAACATAAATTTTAGAGAAGTACACATGAAAAATGAAAAAAATACTAATGAATTGATCTATTTTATTTCATACTTCTTATCCATTATTCCATTAGCTGATAATTTTTTCATTTATAGAGGAAATTGGGCAATTGATTTGATGAGTAATATGGAGTATTTGTGTAATATATAATGAAGTTGTTTTCCTAATGAAATGCATCAATTTTATTGACATATATTTTTTAAGAAGCATGCATTTGAATTTCATTTCATTTGGCTTGTTTTTACCTATTAAAGCGATTTAAAAAAAAAAACATGCTGGGAATTGATATCTTTGGGGTAGTCCATTATTTTTAAAAAACATGAGCAAACATTTAAGAGTACTTTAGATTCAATAAATTAGATAAAATACTTCTAAAATTTGAATGCGAATATTTCTAAATTTTCAAGTTTGTTGTTCTCAGAATTTTCTCTAGTATATTCAAAAATTTTCAAAAGATTTCTCTAGAATCCGGTGGAAATTTACATAATAGCCAAACATAAGAAATATTCGCATTTTAGATGTAAATATATGTTTATACAGTCTATTATTTGAGGGATAGATACCCGGACCAAAACCCTCTCCACCCTACGCAAATGATCATACACTCTTTCATCAGACCGTCGGTTCACTCCACCTTCAAACTGACAGAGTCGGTCAAAGGGAAGTCAGGCAGCCCCCTTTGCATGCCGGCTTTCTTCCAACTTGTTCAACCGCCGGGCATGAATCAATCGATTGTCCGCTTCCTCTTCTGAACTCCTCCTCCTCCGCCACTCTACGTTTTTTAAAACAGTAATAATAACACAATCCCTCCACTAAACACAACCCCTAAATATGGAAATTACATGTATCATGTAGAACTTACACATCATGTGATAAAATAAGTCGGGAGTAGCTTGCAGAAGCTGTGTGAGTGAACCATCAAATGGCAGATCATATTTATAGGCAAACATCTCAATAGTATTCATAGTGCTCACCTCCCATTTCAACCAATAGGATTGTATTTTGGAAAATAATCAAATAGTATCAATAGTGCTTGCCTCCCATTTCAATCAATAGGAAATTGTTTTATCACATTATTATTGGTTCTGTGAAATCTAATAATATGATATCCTTCAATGATTTGTTTTTGACAAATAACCCAATGACTCATTGATGTTGATGTTTTTGAGAGGGAACCCTATTCATAAAAAAAGTGTGCTTTTATATATTAATAGAATAGATGTCCCAAACTCCCATGTGAAACTTCTCACTTCTATTTTAGGAAATGATTAACACTCTTAACTGAAAAATTAATTATTAATTATTAAAAAATAATCCACCTTTAACATTACAATTATTATCAATGTCCTTATAACTTTTTATATACCAATCAAAATTTTTATGAAAATATACTCATATAAAAAAAATCGTGTCATTTTTCATTGAAAAATTTAAGTCGAGATGGGGTCCTGGGATAGTACATGAGAATAGAAAAGGAGATTATTAAATACTTCATATATAATACTAATAAGACAAAAGGTTCAAGTAAGTCTTTTTACTATTTTCAATCCATCACTTAACCCTTATACTAAAAAAACTATCATATAAATACACTTACTTTTAAAAAATGATCAATCTATCCATTTAATAAGTTTTGACCTGTAATAGCAGGTTTTTATATTAAAAAACTTTAAAAAAAATTGTTTAGTATTGAAGAAAAATAGATAAAATTTGTGAAAAAATTGAAAATATTCTACATATATTTAAAAGGTTTTTACATTTTTTATTTTTTATTTTTTATTTTTTTATTTTTTATTTTGTATTGTTATTTTATTGAATTATTTATATACTTTTACATTTATACTATTTTTATATTAGTATTACATTATTTTTCAAAATTATATGAATTTATTAAAGATCTGTCTATAGTCTCAATTTATTTTAAAAAAATAACTTGCTATAAAAGGTCAAAATGGCGTGATTAATTGTATTTTAAAGGTAAGTGTACTCATGTGATACTTTTTATTACAACTTTTAGCACTATGATTCTAAAATTACATATACGACAATAATGTTCATGATATCTTATCTTATACATACAAGTTAAGATGAGATCGATGACTTTTGACTTATTAAAGAATTGGAGTATTTAAATTTAATAATGATCAATTGTGTGCATTTTGAATGAAGCGGATACAAACCGTTTGAAAAGCAACAATAAAAGACTGTCTGAAAATATTCATTTTTTCTGTAGTTATGTGACTCTTAAAAATAAGACCCTATCAAAATTTAATAGTCCAAAATGAAAAATGATCAAACTAAATTGTCATATACTTTGGGTTTATTGAGTAAAATCCCCTTCACATGTAGCTTATGCTCATTGTCTCCATATATAGTTCAAAAGATATATCAAAATATCATGTGTTGTGATGAGTCACATATGTTTACTCTCTAATAACAAGTTTAATGGTTGTATAAAAAATACCTACAATGTTTTTAAAATTTAGATACCTAAACAAAATTACCTGAATATATTTACTATTTATTTAATCCTAAAACATATATTGTCTTGGTGAAAAATTGTTATTCTAATTTATAGTATGAAATTGGTGATTAATTGTAATGGTGAGGGATTTGGAGCATCGTCTGAATCAAGAGTAGATCATGTGCATAATTTAAAATTCTAAATATTAAGAGAGGTTTCACCAATTCTACATGTCACTCATAATTATCCAAATTCATAAGTTTTAAAAATCATTTATATTTATAAGAGAAATGCTAGAGGTACCCCATTTTCTACCCCATTTTGTACCTCATCCTATATTTGTGGCTCACAAAAATCCAACCCAATTAAAATAATTGCTCCATTTTTACTCATTGCTTTTGTGAACCACAAATATAGGAGGGGTACAAAATGAGGTACAAAATGGGGTGGCTAGCATTAGTGTATTTATAAATCTAAACCACATATGAGAAGTACAAACACCACCCACCAGAGCAACACCCAGGTTCAACGCTAGGGCCTAGTAGCATAAGAATACATAGGTGCCTCTAAAAAAAATACACACGTGGTGAAGCTCACAAGTCACAAAGCAATCCTCCACCCTTGGACCAGACTCAGAGTTAATCACCTTTGACAAAGCAATATAACTCGTTGATCCTAAATTGGGCATAATTGAGCCAATAATGGTCACCGCAGAACTCTCATCACTCACTCCTAGTACAAAAGTCTTACAATAATAAAAGTAATCAACAGAAAAATAAGCAGTCTGATCATGAAAAGTAAAACGCAAGCAAACAATAAAAATAAAAAGATGCTTCCGAACCCTAGATTTAGGAGGGGGACGATCCGGCAGTACTGTAGCTTCTTCCGATCCGTGAGGACAACTCCCATCACCAGAAATTCAGCTCTCTTCTCCATTGAAACAATCTCTCCATCCTTCTCATCATCAAAATTCAAGTTGGTGTTTTCTTCCCCTAAGGCCATCCTCTTGTACTGGTACATCACCTCTTCCATTCGTTCCACGCACCGCTCGAAGCCGCCAAAGAGAATCCGCCGAAGCTGCCGCTGCACCCTTCGTCAATGTCGATGCCGAATGTAACCAAACTGCCGAAGCCGGAGCCTTGCTCCAACCCTTTGTCCTTGCCGCCTATGTGATTATCAAAACCCCTATTGTAGTACACCAGACTTCTTCCTAAAGAAGAAGACGGAAAATCGGAAAACTACTCTAGGGAGCCCTGAGCGGCAACCCTAGAGAAGAAAATTGGCTACTCCTAAGGGAGAGAAATCATTTTTAAGTAAAGTTTACTCTTAGAAAATACGTAGTAGTAGTCAGTAGTAAAAAACATTTGTCTGAATATTATTAAATTTAACTCATTTTTAAAAAAAAATAAAAAATGACATAATTAATGACAAGTTTCCAATGACTCGTCAACTACCTGTAACTTATTGCCCTGAAATACGCTATAATGACTCATGTCTAGTTACTTACTACTTACTCGTACACAATTACTAGTTATATTTTTGTCTAAAAACATTAATAATTATATTTTTGTCCAACGAAACTCTACTACTAATATACATGTCATTTTAGAGCTAATTGACAGGAGAGAAAAGAATTGAATCATAGTCATTTTTTAGAAAAAGTGGGCAATAATTTTGGAATGATGAAAAAAGTATGTGAAGTGTGGGAAGAGACAATAGTTTCACCCAATTGCAGGTGCGCAGGCCCAATGTGCCTTTGAGTGCAATGGGCTTGCGTCGGGTTCGCGCCTTCCAATCCAAATCTGTTCACTTCCACCATTTTCTGACACCTATCTCGGCCTAACAAAACCGTCTCCTTTCTTTCTCCCCCCTTCTCGTTTTTGATACTCATGCTCGAACCGCTGTGGAATCAAACCCTAACCAGGCCCTTTAAAGATTTTTAGGTGCTCTCTCTTTCCCTCTCTTTATTTGTTTGTTGCAATTGAGTATTTTCATTTCTGTATTTGGGAAAAAAATTGGGAGACGGTACTCGGAAGTCTGGATGGAAGCTTTTTAGGGTTATTTGCTCGGATATGTTACCGGCGTGCCAGTTCCCGATTCGACTTCTGTTGGGTTTAAATAAAGCTGCTTCTTTTAGAGCATTACTCATCATTTTCAGCTGTCCTGTTCGGGTTCGGGTTCTGGGCTCGGGTTCAGCGGCCCTGGAGGCCCACTCACCGGGTAATGACAGTGGATACTCGGTCGGGCGTTTTGTTTTGGTTTATCCTTAATTAACCATCCAATTTGGAACCTTACCTTATATCTTCCCTTCTCTTGAATTCAGTAGGCTTTATATGGCTGTTTTTTCATTTGTAAAATCAAATGGTGCTTTTATGCCCCTGTGGATCATAAAAGAGGTTCATTTTGTAGTTCCAAGATTGGACTTTGTGATCAAAGTTCATCCTTTATTTCCATGTTGAAAAGAAGTTTTGTTTTGTCAGGCATTGATTGTTTGACACTATAGACAGTTCATTTTCACTTTTTATTTACCCATAAATTATTTTAAGGCTTCCACCCAACATCCAAATTAACATAAAAACTAACATCAAAATTACCAACTACAGTTATGAAGGTGTTTTTATGCTTGTCAGATAGTCTAGCAGGATGCTACACGTTAGCTGATAATTAAGTAGTATTATAGTGGTTTATTTATTTGCTTCTGTTTTACATCTCTTTTTTTTCTGCCCTTTTTGGCTGTCCTCTAGAAAGTTAATATCCACTCCGTATATTTTAGGTATTGTTTTTACATGGTTGAATAATAACATGTCTCAAGCTCTGCAGGATGAAAAAAAGATCCATTTTTTACACTACTAGTAGTATGATGAAAAAAAATTATAACAAAAATTCAATGAATTTTGTTTGTGTGCATCTGTACTCAAATAAAATTTTCTTGCTGACTTTGTAACTTGTACAAATTTCCTAAGAAGCAATGCATTGAGAAATATGTTATTGCATTTTACTTAAGCATTATTATGAGGACACTAATTGCAGGAGACTGCACCAAATATAATACTCCATCCTTCATTTCCTTTCCAAAGATTATTTTGGAAAAGTATTAAGTTTTACTTTTAAAAAATTAAATTACATTTCATATTTGTTATATGTGAGATTAGCTTATACTCTAATAGACTAGCTGTAAACATAAGATAGTCTGAAATGAAATAAATAAATAAATAAATAAATAAATAAATAAATAAATAAATAAATAAATAAATAAATAAATAAATAAATAAATAAATAAATAAATAAATAAATAAATAAATAAATAAATAAATAAATAAAGAAGGAACTGTAGTCCCAGAAAGATCAGTTGAGTGTGGATATTCCCTTTCTTAGTCCTCTACCATCATCTCCATTGGTCCTCTACACCCTTCTGAAGAATAAGCCACAAAACAGCATTGACTTGCTGCAACCAAACCATCATCACCAGATTCACCCCAGCTGGCACCCTTAGTCTGTCTGATCTCTATATCTCCCTTACCTAATAAAACTTTATTTCCAAACCATGCATTACACGTGTTTCTTTCTCTGCCACACAATGACCCCCTGTTTGGTGTGTCCGTGCTTCATATGTGTTTCCCTTCCTTTGATTGTTATTATATAGAAGTCAGCAGCTTTAAATGGCAATTTTTTGTTTCTTTATAGCATCTTTCTGCGGCCTTGGGCATTTAATTTGTTACCTGATTGAGCAATAATGCATTAATGTGACGAAGACTGAATTGCTTGGTCTGGTTGATTCTGAAGCTATGTTTTTTAAGTTACAGACTTACAGAAGAGCTATATAGAAGACAATGCTAAATGGTTAGAACCATGTCAAATTTATCTTGGGGGCTATAAATTGCATTTTGGTAATTCCGCATATCAATTTTTGAATATGAATGGCCACCATTCACCACTTAGTGTTACCACAGAAGTCATATATAGAAAAACACATGGCTTGATTGTAGACACAGGAGCTTATTGTGCTTAGAATTGCTATTTTCGGTAGTAAGTTTATGCAGCTGTCAATATCACAGGAAAACTTTTTCACATGTCAGAAGAAATGGTTAGTTGTATATCCAAGGGATATTGAATGTTTAATAAGTCTGCTGGAGGCATTATGGGGACAATAATTTTGAATTGGGGGATCAAAAGAATGTGTTGTTTCATTACTATATTTATCTAAAATCCTGGCTAGTTAGATATGCCACTAACTTACCTGCTTCAACTTGTTTCTTAATGAAAATATCAGGTATTTCTAAAATATTAAGAAAGCAATGGAGATAGAAGATGGCTCGGTCATAGTGAATTCCAGCAGACTGAAATCTGTTGTGTGGAATGATTTTGATAGGGTCAGGAAAGGCGACACTTTCATAGCAATTTGTAGGCACTGCAATAGGAAGCTAAGTGGGTCAAGCACTAGCGGCACTTCACATTTGAGGAATCACTTAATCAGATGTAGAAGAAAATCCAACCAAGACATTAGCCCCTTAATAACAACAAGGGGAAAACGGAAGGAAACAACCCTCGCCATTTCAAATTTTACTTTTGACCACAGAAATGATGAATCCGTCAGCATTGTGAGAGCAAACAAGCTAGATAACCATGGCAAAGAAGGGGGCAATATAGCAACTTTTAATTTTGATAACAGACAGAGTCGGCTCGATCTTGCCCGCATGATCATATTACATGGGTACCCTTTAGCTATGGTCGAGCACACTGGATTTAGGGTTTTTGCTAGAAATCTCCAACCCTTTTTTGACATTCCAACGTTTGATGGGGTGGAGGCTGATTGTAGGGAAATTTATCTGAAGGAGAGGCAGAAAGTGTATGAGGAGTTGGATAAATTGCCAGGTATAAGTTTAACTGCCGACACGTGGACTGCCAATGGAGATGCCGAATACTTATGCTTGACAGCCCATTACATTGACGATTCTTGGCAACTGAAGAAGAAGATTCTCAACTTTTTAATGATTGATCATTCTCTAACAGTAGATACAATTTCAGAAATAATCATGATAAGTCTGAGAAATTGGGATATTGACAGGAAGTTGTTTTCAGTGACATTCGATACTTATTCTTTATATGACAAAATCATTGGGAGAATCAGAGAGCAACTCTGTCAACACCGGTTTCTCCTTTGTGATGGCCAATTGTTTGATATACGTTGTGTAGCGGATTTGGTCAAGATGATGGTCAAAGATGCTTTGGAGAAGTCATTTGAGATAGTCAACAAGGTTCAAGAGAGTATTCGATACGTTCAGCAATCACAGTCAACACAAGAAAAGTTCTATAAGATGGCTCAAGATGCTGGAATTAGCCGCCAGAAAGTCCTTTGTCTTGATAATAAGAACCAGTGGAGCTCCACATACATTATGCTCGAAACTGCTTTGGATTACAAAGATGCTTTTACTCTTTTGCAAGAACATGATTCTCGGTACAGGGCGTGCCCATCTACTGAAGAGTGGGACAGGGCTAGTTCCATCACTGGTTTTCTCAAGCACTTTTTTGACATTTCATGTGCTTTTTCAGGTTCCAAATATTCCACTGCGAACATGTATTTCCCTGATATATGTGAACTTCATTTGAAGTTGATAGGGTGGTGTCAAAACTCGGACGATTTTGTTCGCTCTTTGGCATTAAAGATGAAAAACAGGTTTGATGAGTATTGGAATAAGTGCAGTCTGGCATTGGCAATTGCGGCAATCTTAGATCCTCGATTCAAGATGAACGTGCTAAATTTTTTTTATCCTCAAATTTATGGAGATGAGTCAGCAACATGCATAGATATTGTTTCAAACTGTTTGAAGGCTTTGTACCATGGTCATGCAATCTATTCACCATTAGCTTCTCATGGTCCTAGTGGTGATTCTAGAGAAGATAGGTTGACGGGTTATGACCAATTCCTCTGTGAAACTTCTGAAAGTGAAGACATAAAATCAGACTTGGACAAGTATTTGGCGGAACCTTTATTTCCTAGAAATGTTGATTTTAACATACTGGATTGGTGGAAGGTTCACACTCCAACGTATCCCATATTGTCTATGATGGCTTGCAACATTCTTGGGATTCCTCTGTCAAAAGGTGCACTCGAGTCTATATATGACACTGGAAGTAGAGTGGTTGACAGTAGTCGAGGTTCACTAAGACCTGATACTCTGCAAGCTTTGATGTGTGCCCAGGACTGGATGCGCCATGAACTTGAAGGTTTTTTTATTCCCACACATTAGATTTTGTTGATTTTTAAAAGCCCTTATTTTGTTTTTGGAGGATTCTGCAGGGGGTGGGTGGAAAGTAACTGAGTTCTGAGTGTCTGACTGGACCACGAGGGGGCTATCTTTTCTTAATTTATTTCACCTTTTTTCGAAAATTGTTCCACATATTATTGTTACTCATGCATAATGATATATTTTTAATTTCAACAAAAAATTAATTTAAATACAATAGTTTTCTAAAAGACTATTAAAAAGGGGAAATTAACTTTAAATATTACCAACTTTCTAAATGTAGAACAAAAATAATATGGAGTCACTTTTCTACAAGAATTCCTTATTTGTAGACGGAGGGAGTAATTATCCTCCACGTCCTTCTTTTGAACAAAAGTAGAGTTAACTGTTCCTTACTTGTTATGAATGTCTTAGTGACTGCTTTTACAGATTGTAAAGACTCATCAGGCACATCCACTTTAGCTGAACACTATGATCCCAACTAATTCCAAGATTTGTGGGATGCGGATTTGTGATTCAAGCATTGACATTCAGTTTGAACCGTCTGTACATATGTTTAATCAGGAGGTTTCTTTACCTCTTTCATGTTCAATATCAGCTGCAGGTTTAGTTTCATTTTACATCCCATCTTGCTCAAAGTAGTGAATCATTGGAAAAAGATTCCACTTTTAAAAAAAATTGTTTAGCCCAACTCCTGGTACACACCTGTAAATAAATCTTTGGTCCCTATGGTTTGGTTCCAAGTTTAGAAATGCTGGCTGTGGTGTTTTGTCTGTATATGGCGTTTTGGCTAACTACTTTGTAATTGCTGAGGTAGTAATCTTATTTCCATCTTCAAAACTTCCTCAATTGCACTGATTTCTGTTGCACAAATGCCTTCCACTTTTGGTTCCACTATTGGGTTCTTAACTTTTGATGTTATCTCTCGTTTTTTTACTTTTGGTGCACTGTACACTACTAGTCTACTATGAGTTTCTTGTCACTTCCAGTCCTGGTTTATTTTTGCGGATTAAATGATGGAAGAATCAAAAGTAGCAAGAATCTATTGCTATGCATTCTTGGTGTTGTTGTTCTAATGATCTTATTCCGGCTTTGGGTTTATAAGTTTTACCTCAAGATTCTGCACATTGTGTCTTAAGGTTGTGCATAGTTTGCTGCTAAAGTTGCTGGTAGAGAATTCTGGGAAGGCAAGAAAAAGAGAAAAACTGAGAGATCTGTATTTCTTGGGAAAACTGTCAAATAGGTCCTCGAACTTTCATAAAAAAGTCAATTAAGTCCTTCTATAGGAGACTCTGTCCGGTCGTCGCAATTTGGGGCGGTTCCTAGTGGAATTTTTTGATGAAATTTTTTGAGCATCTTATTCATCAAGTGTAGTTTACTCATACCAAATTTCAGCTAAAAATTTAATCGAGAACACATTCAAATTAATTCGAGAACGCAAAAATGCGCAGCTAGCTTCAAGATTTAATTTGAATGTGTTCCCGATTGAATTTTTAGTTGAAATTTGGTATGACTAAACTAGACTTGGTGAATAAGATGCTCAAAAAATTTCATAAAAAAAATCTACCGGGAAGTGCCCCAAATCACGACGGCCGGACAAAACCTCCTATAGAAGGACTTAATTGACCTTTTTATGAAAGTTCGAGGACCTATTTGACAGTTTTCCCGTATTTCTTTTGTAACAGATCCGCTTTTGTACCAACGCCAAACCAAAATACAAAGCATTTCAATGCTAGAAATGCCTGTTTTTATGTTTTTTTTTGTTCTTATTCTAGTTATTGTTATGATGCGTGTTAATCTATTATTTTTGTCCAGGCCTTTATAATTGAGGCGTCAATTTGTGTGTTAAGATGATGTTTCACGAAATTCTGGTTCAGGCCGTATTATAATCTGCTATATTTGAATTGAAATGTACAACAAAGACACTTCAGTACGTCTTTAATAACATTGGGTAGTTTCAAATTGTTTTTATATTGGGAAACGCTACTTATATGGAGTATTAAAGGGGTGTTTGGATCTAATTCTTAAAATTGCTTCTGCTGCTTTAGCGAGCAGAAGCAGGAGTTGGGGTGTTTGAGTGAAAATGCAGAAGTGATTCTGATGCTCTAATTTATTCTTAGATAGGTGTGGACCCGGTTCGGACCGCCCGGCCCGGGACCGGCCCGGCCCGCCACTGTGCGGGCCCGGAACCGGCCTGGTTCTCGGGTCCGGGTCCGGTTCGGCCACAGACCCGGTCGGGTTAGCGGGACCGGGCTCGGGTCCTGGTTTTGGAGGCCCGGCCGGGTCTAGCCCTGGCCCGGGCCTAACGGTCCAAAATTTAATTTTTTTTTTTTTTTTGCTTCTTTTGGCTCAACGGCCACCCCAAACGGCTATATAGCCGTTGGGTGGTACCGGGGGGGGGGGGGTCAGGGGGCTTTGGTCTTAGGAGTCTAAAATGTTAAAATGGCATTTTTAGACTCCTAATTTCTTACATTGGTTGAGTGTGGAGGGTATTAAAAATGGGTTTGGGGAGGGAAGGGGTTAAGTTTGGAGGAATTTTAGACAGCCAAAAATTAAATGGAAAAGAAAAGAAAAAGGGGAGTGGGGGCATACCTGTTGTGCGCAGACGGGAGCAGAAGGCTTGCCAGGGGAATTATTTGCCTCGCTGACATCATGTTGATGTCAGCATGAGGCACCATGCACTACCAACGGCTCAATTGTTTGTATAAAAAAATATTTGGTAGATCCAACTGTTGTGATGAACTTGACACTGTTTGAACGGGACAAAAAATGATCCAACGGCTGAAATTTAAATCCAACGGTTGAAATAATTTATTTTATTTTTCTATTATTTTTAATTGATATTTTGCTCGAAAATCCTATATAAACACCTCATTCCTTCTTATTTTAATCAAACATCTTCCATATCTCTCATTCTTCATCATATTTTTTCACTACAATTTTGTTATGTCTTCCTCAAAAAGGGGTGTTAATTGGAATGCTAAAGAGGATGTTGTTCTATGTAATGCTTGGGTCACCATATCTGAAGATGGTGCCATTGGAATAAATCAACCGGGGGAGACTTTCTGGGGCCGAATTCACGAGATATTTTCGGCACAAAGTCAAATTCCTCGAACTCGAGATGCAATTGAGTCTCGTTTCAAGATCATCAATAATCAATGTTCTCAATGGAAAGGTTGTGTGCGGAAAGCGAACGCAACTCCGAGGAGTGGGTCAAACCTAGACGATTTGGTAATTTCTAAACTACTCTATTATTTGATTTTAATTCATAAAGTATATACTAATATATTTTTGAAATATATATAACTACATTAATATTTTAGAGTATATTAGTATATATTCGTATAATATTTAGTGTATATATAACTATGTAATTAAAGCATTTATATATATTCGTATAATATTAGTATAATATTAGTATATATAATATATATATATATTCGTAATATATATTAGTTTTATTAGTATATTATATATATATATATTAGTTATGTTAGTATATTATATATATATATATATATATATTAGTTATGTTAGTATATATATATATATATATATTAGTTATATTAGTATATATATATATATTGTTGGGTGTGTTTCGGAAAACGTCTCAGCAGCAGGCTGCGGAAGATGTCTCAGCAGCAGGCTGCTGCGGACTGTCCTGCCGGCAGTGGGTTGCTGCTCCATTTCAACGGGTAAACTTCGAAAATCGATATCTCATTCACCCGTTATCCGTTTTGAGTGTACCACATATCGAATTGTAGCCCTTAACAAGGACAATCCGAAACCAATTTCACCCGACCCAAATCGGAAGTGGACCCCACTCAAAAAATTGCCCCAAAATAGCCATTTAATGCAATTTTTCACACATTTTTCCAACATATATATATATATATATATATATATTAGTAATATATATTAGTTATTTTAGTACATATATAATATTAGTATATATATTCGTATAATATTAGTTATATTACTATATATATATAAGTTATATTGGTTATATTAGTATATATATTCGTTATATTAGTGTATATTAGTTATATTAGTTATATTCACAATATACATATAACTATGTAATTAAAACATTTAATTATATTACTATGTACTTTACTCCTTTATTATTATTATTATTATTATTATATTGTAGAACTTTCAAGCCAAAGACATTTTCATGAATGATAACAATGGCAAGACATTCAAATTTGAGCATGCGTGGCGTGTCCTCCAAGTGTGTCCGAAGTGGTACCAACAATACGAAGCTCCGGTATCCTTCTCCCGGCCAATATCGTCTCCACAATCGCACGATTCGCCCACACTCGGAGGTAGTGCTAGCTCTCCCTCGGATGGAGAGCCACTTCAACGTCCCGAAGGCCGGGACAAGCAAAAGGCCAAAAGAAGTGGAAAGGCAAAGGTGTCTAAGTTAGATCCAATGATGACGCAATGTTTACAAGAAATGATTGAGCAAGGCAGAGAACAAGCTTCAAGAAGAGCTAAGCGTGATGAGCTTCAACACAAAGCCGTAGAGTCGGAGATTACCAGAAACCAGTATGACTTACTAGCTGCGGACCTTTCAAAGTTTTCACCGAGGAAGCAAAGGTGGATTAAGCAAAAACAAGATGAAATAATGGGGTATTCTCAAAATTCCTCAAGTGATGTTCCCGACACTCCTGCAGAAGAAGTGTACCGTCCCCACTTTGATTTCTAGTTATTATGTTTTGTTGTTTTTATTTTGTATTGTGTTGTAAGTTGAATTTCACATATGTTTCACTTTTAAATTCCATGTTTTGTTATTTTAATTTATTCAATGTGTTATTATTTTAATTATGTGTGCTTATTTAATGTTCACGTTTATTTTTATTAAAATTAAATTTATTTTAGTGACTTATAAGTTTGTCACATTATTAAGTAATATTCTAAAAAGATAGAAGTAATTTACACAAACGCGAATATTTTATTAAGACACATAAAAGTTCCAGAAATACATAAAGTTTTTCGGAAAAACATAAACAGTACAACTACGAAGTTAACACTAGTAAATGAAATACATGAAACACAACTAGATTAAGAAAACACATAAATATTTAGGGGAAGCAAATAAACTACATTCCATTTCCATGGTGCATCCACAGATGGTTTATGAGATCACTTTTAAGCGATGTGTGCACCGAGGAGTCTCTAATTCGATTGTGGCGCATCATATATTGACTCAAGGTCGGACCATCATGGTTAAGATCCAATTCAACAATACCACCAATATAGTCATAGTCTTCACGGTAGTCTTGTTGGGTTGGTTCTTCATCATTCTCTTCATATTCATCTTCCACTATCATGTTGTGCAGTATAATGCATGCCAGCATTATATCACCTAATGTGCGTATGTCGTGCAACCGTGCAGGACCTCGCACAATAGCCCACCTAGCTTGTAAAATTCCAAATGCTCTTTCAACATCCTTACGAAAAGCCTCTTGCATTGAAGCAAAAAGCTTTTTCTTAGGAGTGTCTGGATGACTTATTGTCTTAACAAAAGTTCCCCAACTTGGGTAAATCCCATCAGCTAAATAATAACATTGATTATATAGCTTACCATCCACGCGGAATTGTACCTGAGGGGCAGATCCATTTACAACAGCATCAAAGACTGGAGAGCTTGCAAGAGTGTTGAGGTCATTGTTGGAACCGGCTGTGCCAAAAAATGCATGCCACATATGAGTATCATAAGAAGCAACTGCTTCGAGAACAATTGTTGGTTTTCTTTTGTACCCGGTGTACTGGCCGGCCCAAGATGTAGGACAGTTTTTCCACTCCCAGTGCATGCAATCAATGGACCCAATCATCCCGGGAAAGCCTCTTTTCGAGGCCTTTTCAAGAAGACGATGCAGATCTCCGGGGTTAGGGGTTCGTAGGTACCAAGAACCATACACACTAATAACTGCCCTACAAAATTTTTTCATGCACAAAAGTGTAGTTGTCTCACTCAAACGACATAACTGATCTAATGAATCAGCCGAGCAACCATTGGCGAGCATAAATATCGCACTAGTGAGTTTTTGATTAGGAGAAAGAGATACCTTGTTTGCTGCATCTATTGTACTTACAAAATAGGGATCGAAAGCCATGACATCTTTCATGATTCGATCAAATAGAGCCGGTTGCATGCGATAACGACGACAGAAGATACGTGCATTGTAGGTGGGATTTGGATTCCAGTAATCATCCATCAACAAACGGTGTCCAGCTTCCCGACCACGGTCTATGTAATCACGACTACTATTGGAGCTTGTTGCAACCAAAGAAGCCATCAAAGCCATGCGCATGCGGTCGGAATAAGCTTCTTCATCTTCATCTTCATTAATGAATTTGTAAAATGCGGGAAAAGAACTCATGATGTTTTTGGCCTTGTTGAAAATGGGAGAAGTAAAGATGAGGTGTGTGATTCCAATGTCAAGTGAGGCCATGTATTTATAGTAATATAGTTCTTTGATGTTCACACCAAGTGGAGGATACATCCAAATTAATATGTTTGGACCAAGTGGAGAATAGCATCCAATGTGGTATGGAAGATTACACATGGTGAAAAAGAGAATCCAATGTCATATAATGTGCTATGAAAGGACACAAATAATGGAAAAGAGAATCCAATGTGATTTGAAAAGATACAACAAGTTGAGAAGGGAATCCAATGTGTTATGGATAGACACAAAGTTGAGAAGAGAATCCAATGCTCTAATGTGTTGAAAATCACTCAGGAAAAAACGTAAAAAAAAATAATAATGAAATTTATTTTTTTTACATCGAAATGTGTCTTTTTTATTTTATGATTAATCAGAGAAAAAATTAAAAGGAAAACATTACTTATAATAATTTAATTAATGTTTTACTAAATTGATATGTAAAAAAATGTGTAGAGTGTATTTTATTGACGGTGCTGGAATGCAGAGAATAGGAGTCAAAACACTGTTTTCATATCGACGGAGTCCATTTTTGACATTTGGACTCTTGCACCACTCCAAATGGTCTAATACCTCACCACTCCATTTGGTCTAAATACTCCTAATTCTAAACATTTTTTCACACCTCTTCTCCAACTCTACCTAAATCCTACTCTCTACTCATCTCCAATTCTCCATATTCATCTTCTCAAATTCTCTTATTCTCCTTTATATTTTATTTTACTATTTAATACTTATACAATTATTATATCTACTTATATACGTAGTATTAATTATCTACTTATATATTATTATCTACATATACTATATTACTTATATTTTTTATCTACTTAATCTCTACTTATATCTCTTAATACATACATACATACATACTATATCTACTTAATATATACTTTATATAATAAAGTATTAAATATACTTTATAAACTATTACTATATACTTAATACATAATAATATCTACTTCTCTACTTATATTTTATATATACTTATTTTCCAATCTCCAATTCTCCATTATACTCTAATATTTAATTCTTATACAATTATTATATCCACTTAAGACATACATTCTACATCTACTTAATATATATTTTATATATTAAAGTATAAAATATAAGTGTATTACTCATCTTATAGTAGTATACTTATATATTATATAATATAAACATTATATTATATATTACTTACTATAACTAGTATTATACTAGTTAATTAGCATTCTTGTTACATTTTTCATTATACTAGTTAATTAGTTCATTACCATTATTGTAACATTTTTCATTATACTAGTTAATTAGTTAATTAGCATTCTTGTTACATTTTTCATTATACTAGTTAATTAGTTCATTACCATTCTTGTTACATTTTTCATTATACTAATTAAAATACTTCACATTTTATTTAACTAGTTGTTAGTTTGTTACATTTGTCACTATACTAGTTAACTACTTAATTAGCATTGTTGTTACATTTTTACTTGTACTAGTTATTTACTTCAAAAGTTGCTATAATTTTAATTGTAGAGACACACATTAATTCTACTTTGCACAAAATTAGTTTGAAGTATTAATTAAAATAGTTTTAATTAGTTGCATTAGTTTTGTATCCATTATTATATTTGTTGTGAATTAATATTTGTTACATTTTTTAGATGGAAGGTGGTAGATATTCGGTTGATTTGGGTAACCTCCAACGCAATCGAAGAAACGAGATTGGGAGGAAGAAATCCCGCAAAGGTAAAGAACTTGCCGGGTCTTCATCTCAAAGCCGAGATGATTTTGAAACGGGTTACCAAAGGCGAGATGGAGATGCGATGTCCGAAGAACAACTCCAACAAGAATTGGCCCGATAATGTCCGATGATTTGGAATAGTACTTATAAATTACTTAAAGTTGTTCTTAGATATAAAGAACATTTTCCTGCTTTTTTAAAAGAACATGATAACTATATTATAAACGCGGCTGAGATCGACACTTGCGAAAAAATTTGTAATGTTTTGATATTTTTTTTTAATGCTACTGAAACTTTTAGTCATGTTTATAAACCTACCGCAAACCAATTTATTCCACAAGCTGTTAATCTCGCCGATGCTTTTAAAGAATTTCAAAATGCCGTTTTCGTTCATTATTTTTGTGATCATATGAAGGAAAAGTTTTTAAAATATTATGCGCATATTCCCCATATTTATGGTATTGCATTTATTCTCGATCCTCGTTATAGACTTGCTAATTTGGAAGATTGTTTCAACTTCTATTATCTTGCGTTTTTCGGTGAATTTCCAATGTATGACGATAACCTCATAGATCCGAAAACGGAATACAACGAGGTTAGTACTTTATTTTATGCCTTATTTAATGAATTTCGTGCACAATATAGCAACGCTCCCCCTCCCCCGTCACGAACATCTTCATCTAAAGGAAAATCGATTTTTAAATCTGCATTTGGCAATCTTATGAAAAAAACTAAAACAACTCACGTCACTGAACAAAGCGCATTGAATGAGATTACTTTGTATTTAACATATGAAGTTGATTTTGAAGAAAATGATGACTTTGACGTTCTAGACTGGTGGAAGTCAAAAGAAAGAACGTTCCCGATTTTAGCACGGATGGCTAAGCAAGTACTATCAATGCCGGTTTCAACAGTTGCTGTGGAACAAGAATTTAGTTCGGCCGGCAACGTCCTAACGGCATCTAGATCGAGATTGAGCGCGGAGTCTCTTGAGACGCTTATATGCTACCACGATTGGTTGAAGGCCGCACGTAGAACTCAAGAATTGAGCATCACCCCCTCCCAAGATTTTATGGATGACTCAACAACCGATGGTGGCTCTACCTATGCCGGAGATTCCGATTGATTAGTATTTTAGAATTTATTACAAAATGTATTTTATAGCACTTGTCAAATTTATTTATACTTGTACTTCATATTTCAAAATTGTAAACTTGTACTTCATATTTCAAAATTGTAAATTTGTAGTTGTAGTTCAAATTAATTTGTAAACTTGTACTTCATATTTCAAATAAATATGTGTTCACTTTTTCATATGTAGCACTTCTCAAATCAATTAATTGGTTACAATCTAACGACTTAAAATTATTTTTCTAAAATATAAAGCCGGTTTTTAAATTAAAAATACATTTAGAATATGTAATTTGTTTAAATACTTATACACCTATTTTGTAACATTTGTAAATTATAAATCAAACCACTTTTCTAAGTACAAATAGTTTTAGTTTTACTTAATTCATTAAATTAATTAATTTATTTTACAATATGTGTATAACTTAAAAAAAAATTAATTCAAACCTCCCAAACGGCTATATAGCCGTTGGGGCTATGGGTGGGGGGCAGGGGGGTCCTGGGGGTGGTGGTGTGGGGAGTGGGGTTCAAAAACATCTATAA